CCCCCCCGCCGCCGCCTCCACCTCCCGCACCGCCGTTTTCTCTGTCGCCGCCGCCGAACTTTCGACGGAGCTCTTGGTCGAGCTTAAGACAGCGGGGATCGCATCGGAGCAGGAGCGCCAGCGGCGACGAAGCGCCGAGTTTGAGATTATCGGTGGGGTTTCCTTCCCCTGCCTCCGCAGCGGCCGCCTTACGAGCAAGCTCTGAGATGATGTTGTCCAAATACTCGTCGTCGTCATCTTCGACGTCCGGCGCTGTTTGCTTTCTGCCCCCCTCCTCTGGTGTGGAGAGCTTTGTGGGGAAGGGCGTACTATCGCCGGCTCCCCCGCCGCTGTCACTGCTGTTGTCACTATCGCTACCATCCTCTTCTTCTGAGCTGCTGCTGCTGGATTCCGAAGAATATTCTCCGAACGCCTGGGAGTGGCACAAAGGAGGGGGTAGAGCGTTCAAAATTGCCTAGGTGGCTACAAGTATTGTTTGTCACACCCCTTGTAGGTCGGGTCCTGTGAGCGCACTGCTGTACGCACGGGTGACACAAGATATCACACCCCGTGATAACTCAATATTTTCCCAAAATGTTGTACGACATGAAACATATGTAGGACACAATATCACGAGAGAACGGAATCGTACGTCAACTGCGGGACCGCCTACGCGAAGACAATAAGTTTGCCTGTGGAATACGAGAGGCAGGAGGTTGCGTAACCCGAATTTCACCGAGGCAAGATCAACAATTGATGTCTTGAAGTGTGCTGACAGCGAAATGTAGGATACTGCTGTACGGCCCGCCGTCTACACGCCAATCTCGTACTCGAACGCTGCAAGAAATAAAGTCTAGGCAAAGGAACGTGTTGCATATCAACAACAGGGGCGTCCATAGCTCTACGGGAACGTGTACTACGAGCTGTGGTGAGTATCAGCTCACCGATGCGGACACCACACCCCCTCTGGAAAGCTCGCCCTCCTCCTCCTCCGAGTCTGAGCACCCATCAGACTCTTCAGATTCCTCGTTGAGACCACCGCCTAGGAGAGGGTCGAGGCCTTTAGCCTTGGCGAGTCGATTCAACTGCCTCGCCGACATATGTGGTCAAGTAGCGCAGTAAGGACGAGTAGAGTGTGGTTGGCAACAGCCGTGATGTGCGTACTGCTGTTGTAATGCGGCAGTCGGCAAACACTTGCAAAGGTAGGGGGGGTCCACAGATATAAAACTAGACTTCCTTCATATCCCTCCGAACCAAAAAGAAAAATAGCACAGCACAGGTGCAGCATAGCCAGCCCAATAGCCAACAGCTACAATCACACGGGCAAATAGCACGCACTCTGAGCTGACTCTGAGCTGCGAGCCACGGTGCTGCTGCTGTGTTCCGGTTGAGCATATCGCAGCCATTCTGCAGATCGACGCGATACTAGGGACGGTAGGTGCGGAGGGTGCTAGCTGCCGCTGTGATCCATCTCATGATCGGATATCGAAGCCGAGAAGGTGCCGCTGGGGTCGCTGCCGACGCAACTGCCACTTCACATATTGTAGGAGGATTTGATGATAGCGGAGGCGCGGTACAGTCTCTGCGGCGACAGCTGCATTTGCCTGCTCCTGTCGACAGCCCACTAGGTGAGCCACATGGGGAACGACGAAAAAGGGAAATTGCGCCGCATTTTACAGCTTTTGCTTGCACGGGTTGCCTTGTGTCAGTCTGGATGGAGGGACAAACTTGTACCAGTCCGTTATGTGGGAAGCAGACTGTCGAACTCCCCCATGGTCGCGCACACGCACGCTAAGTTAGTGCGCTGTGTTATACCCCCTTGTGCCACACACCTCTAAAACCCGAACACCTCTCGGCACATGGGCTCCGTTGGCTTCAAATTTGCTGCTGTTGTAGAGTTTGCATTCTGTACCGGAGCAACAAGGTTCTTGGCACCGACAGCTTACGGCCTGCATTAGCGCAGCACTTAACATCCAGATGAAGGGTGAAGGACTCTCTTAAGAACATAACTGTCAAGCTTCGGTGGAACCAAGGTCTGTCGGTCTTGCAAAATCCAAAACAAAACCTTCTAACACCGATGTTTATGGAAGCAGAATCTTTAACAAAATGTTGAAAGTTTCGCCAACATTTGTTTGCACGCTTTTTATGGAAGGAAATCTTTGAAGAAATG